ATCCATGCCGTCACTGAGCTATTTTTGTGCAGTTGGTGGATTATTAAAAGCCAGTTGTTAGTAAATGAAAAAATGCAATAAATGCCTAAAGATCAAAATAAAGTCTTGCTTAATGTAAGGACCAATGCAAATTCCAAAATATAAAAATATAAATTTTACATTGATGTAAAACAGAAAAGACAATTGGATGAGATGACTTGAAAGAGAAATTTCACAAAGAGAAAAACCCTGCCAACTCTAAAATAGAGATATTTTTTATAGCTTGGTGATTTTCAACAGCTTAATGCAGACTTCCATTTTTAGCTCTGAAAGGATTCAGATTTGCTCTCTTTGAACCTGCACAGCACCAGGTGACATTTCTACATTGTTCTCTCACAGCTGTGGTAATCTCTCCCTCTCTCTCACACTGTGTTTGTCTGTCCATGTGCCTGTTTCAGAGCATGGCAAAGTCCTGGCTCCTGTCTTGCCTACCCTGCACTGTCCCAACTCAAATCACAGATCAGCATACTTCCAGCAAAGCTTGCTGAACAGGACTGTGGGAAAGCCATGCTCTCTGGTTCTTGGCGGCGCTCTTTTGGTCATCAGCAGCCTGCTGCAGGATCTGTAGTGAACAGCAGGGGGATGACGGTGTGTGGAGTCCCCAGTGGTACAGTGGTCCTCGAGGCCCAGTATGACTACAGCTACCGTGGAGCAGACGGACGGCAGGTTTGCATACGGGAAGGTGAACGCTTCATTCTCCTGAAGAAGACGAACGCTGATTGGTGGCAGGTGAGAATTTTTTTTTTCATTTTCTCTGTCTTTTGCGTCAGTGGACTCATAAATGTATAAATAGAGCAACATACTGTAGGTTTCTGAGAAGGATAAATTCATATTTTACTAGAAGCCTTAGAAGATGTTGCAGGGCTAAAAAAGGATGTCAACACATAAGTGACAAAGACTTCCTTCCTTTACAGTAGAAAGAAACATGTTTACAGCCCGATACAGAAACAGATTGGGTCTCTCACTTATATGGTCCTATTGAACACATTTGCATGAGGTTATTTTGTTACAACTCATTCTTTCAAACTTTAGTAAGCCTTAACATTAGGGTGTCTTGATGCATACTCAATCATCCAGGTAGGTAAATCCCAAAAGGTTGATTCTGTTCATCTGGATGTAGCATTTTCAGTGGGAGAAACGTTTCGTCACTCATCCAGGTGACTTCTTCAGTCTCAGCTGACTGCAGGTTTCCCCAAGCCTGTAAAGATTAAACATATTTAGCATTAATTAGCATACATGTCTGTCTCTAGTGATGCACCTTAACCATGAACTGATGCATACACTTTAATGGAAAAGTGTGTGATAGACACGCTGGACCACTGTGTGGATATCATGCATTGGCTGCCTTAAATGTGAAACGGACACGCATGCTTACGTTACAGTACCATCAGGGAGAGATTATATATTTAAATCCAACAAGTCGCTCGTGACCAAGGTGGGCATGAAGGACATTCCAGGCTCCTTTTATGCTAGAAACGATTAAACTAGATGTCTGATAAAATATGACATCCACACAGTGGACCAGTTACACTCTTTGCTGTGATATCCTGTGATATCGGATTGAATGACAACACTCTAGCCAATGTTGAAACTTTAGAAACCAGTGGGGGGCATCATAGTCCTATGTCCATCTTTCATATACATAACAATAATATTTTTACAATAAAAACAAATTTTAATGAGTAACTTTACATTGTGGGCACTGTGTATCTAGAACTGCCTCAAAATAAACTGCCGGTAGGTTAAATTCAATCCTGACTTCTGTCCAAATTGTGAAATTTGTTTAGTTTAAGAAATAGCAACAATGGCAGGCCTGTCCTATATTGTACAACTACAATAGATTTACATGTAAAACGTTGCACCACAGTCTAGCGGCTTTTCTCCTTTTAGCTATTTTGTGCCTGTATGTCTCCTTTCTCCTCCATCTTCCTGTCTGTGACCTAGAAATCAGTCTTGGTATGCCGTGTTGAAGGATGTCTCTGTTCGTAAAATGAACCCAGAAGATTGAGGGCCGAGGAGAAAGGAGGCCTGCCAGAGGAGCTATGGCGGAGGATACAACTTTAGTGTTTTTACCTTTTGTGCATAAAAAGATACAGTTGATGATGGGCTACAAAATACGGCTCATTTGTATTCATGCTTTAGTTATTTAAGGTGCTTAACTCCAAGATCAAAGTTGTGTCCGTGTGTGTGTTTCTTAAAAAAGGTATGCTTTGTCACATTGGGTTACATTGTGAATTTAAAAGTAGCTCTAAATATTTAAATGGTCATCTGTTGCATAAAATACAGCAGTAGACTGGAACACAACAGTGAGCCGACGATGAATGAACGATGTACACATGTATTTAACTGACACCACGATGACTTCAAAGCACGGATGAAAACGCACACTCAACACAGAAAAGCCCCAGCCGGCCACATGATTCAAACCGAGAACCTCCTCTCTATGAGGCAAGAGTACTCACAACTGTAACGCACATCCGGTCACATCAAAGGAACAAATACTGCACACTAGCTATTCAGATGTAACTCTTACACTGGAAAAACTACTCAGTTAATGTTCACTTTAGCCACTGAGCTCATTAAATGATGTGGGCTGAGAAAAAGGATGTTATTTTTTTAAAAAGGAAGTTGCGGGTATACTCGTTGCATGTGCTTGATGTCAAAATGAGCTGTATCATTAAACATTTCCGCAACCCCTTCAGCCTTCAGCTGTTTGTTGCCGCTTGGTTGGACTGAAAGCATTTATGTAGCAGAAAAGAGAGAAAGCCTTTGGAATTCTGTTTGTTCTCTGACAGGTGCGGAGGATCGGGGCAGCCAGTAAAGCAAAGCCGCTGTATGTTCCTGCCACGTATGTGACCGAGGTACCTATCGCGCCCATGCCCTCCCCTCAGCGGCTGACTGCAACTGCCTCACTGAACACCAACTTTAGGATACTGCCGCGAGTGTCACTGTCTCCCAGCGCAACCGGAGCTACAAATAATGAACAGCGCCAAGGTAAAGTGCAAGTTAAAGTATGTCAGAGGCAGTTACTAAAATTACCTGTGGTTGAGGCTTTTTAGTTACAAAGCTGGCTGTGTTGCTTTTGCACTTACAGACAAATAAGTTTAGAACAAATGTGGAAGTATTCGTTTTTTTCATCTTCTCCTGCAGTGAACAAACTCCTCTATCACTCCATGGAAAACCTCAACTCCAACAGTGTCTTCCAAGGTCTGAAAAACAACACCAGCGTGGATAGAGGTCACTTCCCAACTTTGCCCCTTTCTGGATTCACCTTTGCTTCCAACTCACCCACCTCCTCATCAGGCCACCTTATGGTCCCTGGGTCTCAAGCTACTTCCACAGCAGAAACAGCACCTACAAATTCCAGGGTAGTTCCCACAATCACCCGGAGCCAGAGCTCAAACAACCTGCCTGAAAACCTGATGGAGAATCCGTATGATGAGGTGGGCGGTGGCTTCAGCAGTCGCACAAACCACAGGATTCCCAAGAAGTCTTGTAGCCAATGGGACGTAGCAGGAGCTTCAGGCAAGAACAACCATCTGCAGGTGGGTCGAGTCAAAAAACCCAACAAAAAAGAAAAGGCGAAGACTTTTGCAGCACTGTATTTGCGACTAGTTTGTCTGCTACAGTGGGGCAAAAAAGTATTTAGTCAGCCACCGATTGTGCAAGTTCCCCCACTTAAAATGATGACAGAGGTCAGTAATTTGCACCAGAGGTACACTTCAACTGTGAGAGACAGAATGTGAAAAAAAAATCCATGAATCCACATGGTAGGATTTGTAAAGAATTTATTCGTAAATCAGGGTGGAAAATAAGTATTTGGTCACCTCAAACAAGGAAAATCTCTGGCTCTCACAGACCTGTAACGTCTTCTGTAAGAAGCTTTTCTGTCCCCCACTCGTTACTGTATGAATGGCACCTGTTTGAACTCATCATCTGTAAAAAGCACCTGTCTTTACACTTAGTGACAGTTTCATAAATCCTGGCAGCAAAGATGGTAATATCAATATATAGACAGGGGTGCACATAAGTGGTCCGCAGGTGCGCATTCGCTGTCAAAATAAAAGACGCGCACAAGATAAGAAGTTGCAACGCGTGTTTGCGTACATAAGATTTTCTGGAGGAGGACAGACATTTGTTTAGAACTCTTAAAGATGTCGAAGAAGCTCCTTTAAGCAATTACTTTGGTTTCCTCCACCTCCAAAGAAATGTCAGAAGGAGTCCGAACCACAAAAGAAGCCGTATTCTCGGAAAAGTGGTTGCAGGAGGTGAGCTGGCTTCAAACAAATGATGAACGCACAGAGATGTGGTGCAGAATTGCCGTGAAAATCCCACTCTAGCGGACAAAAACAGTGCCTTTTATATGACGCAAACGCGCGTTGCAACTTCTTATCTGGTGCGCGTCTTTTATTTTGACAGCGAATGCGCACCTGCGGCCCACTTATGTGCACCCTGAATAAGATTAAACATTAGTTTTTTGCCTTTGGTGTTGAAGGAAATGTTTTTTCTCTCATCTTTCTGTCACCAAGTTTGACTGTATTAGTATATATTAGTAGTTTTTGGCCTTTGCTGTAGTTTTGTTTAGATTTATTTGACTGGGGTTTTTTAGACACTTTGGGCCCTGTGAGATTGATACACAGTGGACAAAACAGGAAACAAAGTACAACCTGTAATGATAGTCAGCGGTCTCCCAACCTTTTTGCGCCACGACCGGTTTATGCCCGACAATATTTTCACGACCGGCCTTTAAGGTGTCGCGGATAAATACAACAAAATAAAACCTAGTACCGGTACCGAAAAAAAGAAGATTTATTCATAACACACGTGAAAAGACCCAGGAAAACCGAGTTAACGATAAAAACGATAACAAAATAACGCTGAAAACCGATAAAAACCCTGAAAACCATACATTTCACACCTGAGCCTCAACTCTCGCGGCCCGGTACCAAACGACTCACGGACCGGTACCGGTCCGAGGCCCGGGGTCATAGGTGACATTTGGTACTCATCTACTCAGACTTCTGAACCTCTACTCAAGTTTTTTTTTAAATGATGAATGCTTGTTTAAAAAAATCACGTATTTAACTTTGACAGACATTTAATTTCCACAGCACTGTACGTTTCTGAAAAGCAGTCCACATGACGTTTGTATAAGTTTGCCAAAAAGAAGGTCGAGGCAACAAAACGGATAAATCAAGCACTCTGTCAGCAAACAGTTAAACTTAAAGGCAGCAGTTCTTTAAATCTGATAGCCCACAGCTAGCTGTTGGACAGTTTTCACTTATCATCCTCATACTTCTGGATTAAACAGTGAAGGTAAATGATGGAAAACATGGCAGTCAAAATCCATCACATGCAACTCAGATTGAATGAAATGATGTAATTTTAAACTCCTGTCATTGGCAAAGTCTTTAATCTCATGCAAAGGTCATATCTCCGTTTAATTGGTGATTCTAAATGGGTCATAGGTAAATGTGCGAGCGACTGGTTTTCTGTCTGTCTTGGCCCTGCAACAGGCTGCCAACCTGTCTAGGGTGTACCCTGCCTATCCCTGGGATAGGATCCAGCTATTGCTGTGACTAATCAAGTAAAATTGGAATAAATCAAACACAACAATATAAAAGATTAAAAGACAAATTGTAAGATTTATAGCTGCGTCTGCTACATTCTTTCCATCAAAGTTAAAGACAGCTGGATAAAGTGTAGCAAAGGACAGCATCGGCACCTTTAACTTTGACCCCGTGTATGGAGTAATTACTGATGTCTGTACTGTTGGAATTTTTTTTTTCATTTAGCTGAATTCATCTGATAAAATATATGATTTGAATATTAGTAGAAGCAAACAACTACAGGAATACCACAGGACGATAAAAATAGAAAAATCCTAATGCGTCTTTTTTGAATCCCACATAATGATTAAGATCAGCTGTGGCTGGTTTTTATTTATATTAGTGTTTGACCTTAATAATCCTCCTAGAGCAGCAATCAAGTTGTGGTGACGCCAGAGCTTCCCAGTGTTACATCAGAAGGTATTACACAAGGCCTTGTTGGTGAGACAAATACTCAAGGTTATTCTTCTGCAAGTGGGAAACTCCCACAGCTTAGCATCCCAACTGTCTGTCCAAATAGACTTTTCCTCCGACTGAACCGTGCTTCCACAAGACACTTGTAACTGTGGGTACATGTGATCTCAGTGGAAATGACAGTCTTCCCTTTTTTTGTTTTTTATCTCCAATCTCTCTTCCAGCCAGTCTGTCTCCGTGTCTATTCCTCTCACTCTCTGAGGACCATGTTCTTTCGAGCCTTTAATACCAGTAAGCAGGATTATTGCAGCCACACTCAGGTCATAACTCCCTGTTTATCAACCAGAAAACACTCTCTAACCACACATTCCTGCCAGGCCTTCATGTAAGTGCTGCCACAGTGATGATGAATTTCAGCTTAATTTATCTTTTTGTCCTGCACGGGCGAAAAATCTGTTTAAACAGTATTTTTATGGTAATTTGTTTGAGCCATTAGATATTGCTTCATTACAAACCACAAGATAATTACTGTGATTGATTGTTGTACATGGTGTTCAAAAGCAATTGGCATTGATATGGTGCCATAATGCTTTCCACATGTATGTAAAGGCTTTCCAGAGACTTGTGGAATGTGCCTGCAAGCCTTTGAAGTGATGCTGACTCATAAGCTGAAACTCACTGTCACATTTAGCCTATATGTGTTCCATGGTGTTATGGTCAGGGCTCAGCAGAGGTCATTTGCATACGTGGAGAAGCAGTGGGTCAGCAGAGGCAACAATAAGAGATTTCGTATGATGCTACACGCTGGAAAAAATAATGCACATGAGATAAAATAAGATCAAAACTCTGTTATGAGATTGTTCGTCAAATACAACTTACCACATGCAATCATGTGGAAAAGAGCGTTTTCACACCACTCTATGCAGTCCCATGAAAAACTAAGTACGCCCTTTTTCCTTCTATAGGAAATAACAGGGCAAGTAGGAGCCAACTGCTGCTAACCAAATACACTTGATCAGCAAGTGTGAACACCCCTATAAAAAGCAGAACTTCATGGCAATATAATTACAAAACGACTGAAAAATATGGGCGTCTGCAGAAAGGAACATGTTAGCGCAGCTTTGCTTTGCAAACTTGCATCTGATAACCCTACAAGGTTTCTGCATCAGTATACTTTGGAGTGGTGGCCATAATGCACAGTACCACATTTGGTAAAAACTAAAAGCAGCATATCAGCACCAACACTTTATAGCAGGTGTCAAGCATGGCGGTGGAGAGGTGATGATTTGGGTTTATTCTGCAGACACAGGATCTTGCAGTTACTAAGCTGAAGATGAACTCATCTGTTTACCAAAATATGCTCGAGTCAAACGTGAGGCCCTCTGTCTGACAGCTAAAATGTGGCTGAAATTGGCTCATGCAATAGGAAGATGATTTCCAAACACACCAGCAAATCTACAACAACCCCGAAAAGGAAAAGGAGCAATAGTCTGAACACCACATACAGTCATGCACAGCTGCATCATCCACTGTCTAGACTTTTGTACCCACAGAAACTCGACCGTTCAAGCAAAGCGCGGGTGCACAAATTATACCACGTTCCTACATTTAACTGCATTCATAAATTCACATCTGCAACAATTTCCTTCCCGAAACCTTTCCCAGCCGCAGAAACGAACCATCAAAATTAAAATGTTACACAAATTAGTTGCTGCACCAAGCACATTTTTACAACACGTCAGTCCTTATATATTTAGTACAAGTGCTTACTTCTCTTTCATGGTTATGTTATTTTGTGATAGCGTCATAGCGAGCGACCAACTCTTAATATTTGTCCACTGAGTATAACTAGAGATGATGATGAGGAGCTGGTGTAAAATAAAGAGAAAGAGAGAAAGAAATGATGCACAACAGTGTCTTATGTTCAAACAGCTCAACAATATACACTACAGGTGATGTCACTGGTGTGACAGTTTCACTTTAATAGATAAAAACAATGGTTGCAAAACATATTTATGATTAATAACACTGATAACGGCTCTTTTGGGGTAGGGATAGCTCAGTAGGTAGAGTGGTTGCCCCATGATCCACTGAATCCACCGAACTGATCTTGAGGTACCCCTGAGCGAGGTACTGTCCCTCCACACTGTTCTCCAGGCGCCCAATGGCTGCCCACTTTCTTCACTGAGTGAATGGGTTAAATGCAGAGAGGAATTTCCCCACGGGGATCAATAAAGTATACTTTCTTTCTTTTGTGCAGTTTATAAATCAAGCAAGTAGGAGACACGAGAGAGAAATCAATTAGGTCTGATATAACTACTTTTCATTTTAAGGCAAAACAAAATGTCAAAAAGTGTTTTGGGAATATGGGATTGGATTCATGTTGTCTTTATTCTTGATTTTCTTGTTTGAGAATTCATTTACTTGCTGAATACATTTAATGTGCATGTTCAGGCTTCTGCTACAGCACAGGATCACAGTAGTAAAACATGGCTCTGTTTGACTTTGTTAAGAAAGATGTTTTGCTATATCTGCTGAGGTAGACAGAAGTAAGCAGTGGGACAGGAAGCTTCGGGTGACACAAAGGCCCACTACTGCCCCCTGGAGTAAACTACCATCACGTTGCTCATCATACACACCATGCTCCTTCAGTTAATAACTGAAAGGCAGTGTTACGTAACAGGGATCAACCAGCTTGTAAGTCAATCAGTTTCTGAATTATGCTTCAGCTATATTTGATACAAAAATGATCTTTAGTGCTTCAAATTCATTTAACTGGATTTATAGATCTCCTTCTCTTGTAACTGCTTCTTTAGTGCTCTCTGCCAGGGTGAGTGCAGATTATTACAATGGCAGGTCATTCTGTAATAAGAGGATTAATTTTTTTCTGTTTATTGCTTTATATGGGATTTCAGTCTCTTCTTGTCTCTTCTGTATGGGATTTCTGACTGCCTTTGTTGAAGCCACAACAATCTGCTGTTAGTCGTTTCCAGTCTGTGCACTTATTTTTTATTCATACGCCATAGTTGAGTTGTTGAGTAAGAATACTTGAGTAACAATTTGGAGTAAAATGCAGACATTTTAGGCATTAAAAGTTAAATAAGGATGCCTCCAAAAGTCAGTTAACTTCATACTAGTCATGGTAAAAAGAAAGCATACCCTCTTTCATTTCTTTAAGTTCTTTTAAAGGTTTTACATACGAAGACATCATGAAAAAAAAAAGTTTTTACCAGGTCTTAAAATGAGGTAAATGAAGCCTGAGATGATCAACAACGTATGACGTATTGTGCTATGTCATGATTTATAACTAACCCAAAATACAGAAGCAGTGTGTGGGGAAAAAAAACCCATGACTCAGTTGCTTGTGGAACCACTTTTAGCAGCAGTAAGTTGAAGTAGTTGTTTTCTGTATGACTTTATCAGTGTCTCACATGATTTGGAGGAATTTCAGCCGTCGCTTCTTTAGGGCATCGCTTCAGTGTGTTGAGGTTTGTGGGCATTCGTTGTTGCACAGCTCTCTTAAGGTCTCACCACAGCATTTTAATCAGGTTGCGCTCTTGACTTTGACATTCTGACATTCTGTTATAATTTGCTGGTGAGCTTGGGGTCTTCATCCTGTTGACCCAGTCTCGGTGAACATTTAGTTGTTGGACAGATGGCCTCACGTTTGACTCAAGCATGCTTTGGTATTCAGAAGCTTTCATGTCATCTCAGTGACTGCAAGGTGTGAAGGTCCTGTGACTTGAAAACAAGACCAAATGACCATGCCTCCACTACTGTGCTGACAGCTGGTATGAGGTGTTTGATTTTTTCTAAATGTGGCACTTATGTGCATTATGACCAGACGTCTCCAATTTTTGTTTTGTCTGTTCAAAGGACATTGTTGCAGAGGCTTGTGGTTTTATCGGCTGCAGTTGCTCACTGAGGCTTGTAGAGTGTGGAGCTTTGGGGACAATTTGCTGGGACGTGCACCAAGATTGTAGCATTGTTTTAACACTCACCAGAATGCTCCAGACCTTCTTGCCGATGACCACTTAATCAAGTGTGTCTGATTAGCACCACCTATCTGCGACTTATCCTCTTAATTCCTATGAAAACGGGAAGGGTGTGCACACTACTTCTGCATTTTAGTTTAGCTTTTGTTAAAAGAATAATCCCACTCTAATATGTCAGGTTTTGTAATACATCTGAGGTTGTATTTAGAAAATTTTTGAATATTTTTTGTCCTGATATGTAAAACCTGAGAATTTACCATTTTACCTTTAATGTATGGAATGAATGTTAAATGGTAAAGACTTGTGTAGAAAAACAAGAGTAAACAGTGATTGTATGAATGGGTGAATGAGGCAAGTTGTTTAAAGTACTTTGAGTGCTCAGAGTAGAAAAGTGCTACATAGGAACCGTTTACATTACATTCTATTTTTTTCTTACTATTTTATTTTCCATTTGATTAATTTATTTAGTTCATGTTTTTATTAATTTGCATTTTAAATCTTTGCATATTAATCTTTAATTTCATTAGCAGATTTTGGCAGTTTCTGTCTTACATAAAGCATCCTGTGCGATGTGGTACTTGTATATGATCCTCCTGCCAGATAAACTCAACTACTGTACACAATATGTCTGTGAAGGTTGTGTTTTGGTTTGAGGCAGAGTTCCTCAAGTTCCTTCATAATGCAATATTTATTCCTTTCTGAGCAACTTTTACATTTAAATTTCACATTTTTCCTTCTTATACACTTTTCACTTTGGCTCTCTTTCTCTACTTCCTTCCCTCTTATTTTTTCTCCTTTCCCTTGTTATTATTTATACATAAAAGGTTCCAACAGAGTCTTATCTCTCCCAGCTGTCCTGGCAGGACTCTCCACTTTATACTGAAAAGCAGACAGAGAAGCGTCAGTCACAGCCAGAGCCACCTAGCCCCGCTCCAGGTGAGCAGCCTCTTCAGATCTTGGGCCTATGGGAGCAGTACTGTGACGCGACCACAGGCAGATGGTACTATGTCAACAGCATTACCAAAGAAAGGTCCTGGAAACCTCCTCGCCGGGCCCGTGGCCAATATACCAACCAGGTAAAATATCAATCTCAACAGGAAATCCTTCAGTGTTCACTCTTCCTCCCTTAATCCAGTTTCCAGAGTTTAATGAAAGTGTCTTCTCATAAGAGAGACCATAGAAGAGGGTCAGGGTGTACAAATGAAAGAGAATGCTCATGTATATGCTCAAATGGTTTGACTGTATCAGCACTAAAAGGGACCTTTTCATTAAAAAAAGGCTTGGTTGTCATTTTTTCTTTTTACGTAGACAGAGCATTGAAGACACGGCGATCACACATCCATTGCAGGAGAGATCGATACTATACATAGTCTCTCGTTGGCAAAGGGTCACGTTGACCTTAAAATTATCTGGTGTTTTCTTGTGATCCAAAAACTTTCCAGAAGTCCTTTTCCCTATACAGAAGCAGTGGCATTGTGCTGGGTATTTTGAGGGTTTTTTGTTTCTTTTTTTTAAATTATAATTTTACATAGGTTCATAGGTTTATTGTTACATTTGAGTTTCTTGCTCAGTACCTTGGTTAGGATTCTGTGAGTTCCATCGCTTGTTTGCTAGTGTTTCCCTGTGGCATGACCCCAGCATGCCCACCATTGGTTGTTTCCCTGCTGGTAACACATCACTCATCTACATTCATTTATGATACGCACGTTGCGTGGGTATACAGTACAAAGCCCTTAGTGTCTCAAATAAGTGTTCAGCTACTTCCTGTTTTATTTTGTCACCAAAATAAAACGTACTTCTTGGAAAGCACAACTTATGTCTTGTGATTTGCTTTTCGTTTTACTTCCCGTCTCATTATCCTCGATCAGACTCACCTGTTTCTTTTTCCTTCTCGTTAATTCTCTGATTCCTGATTTACCTTGATTTTGTAACATTTTGGGGTCTTCTTGCCTCTGTTTCAGATTTTAGTTTTTGGACTTTAATCAACTAAATAAGCAGCTCGCTTTGTGCTGTTGAACTCTGCCTTTAACTTCTTTAACTTCAACATGACAAGCTCTGCAGAAAATTTTGGTTACATTCATGTTTACTTGTCTCTTCTTGTAGAAATACTATAAGTGAAAAACTGTTTAGTACATGCAGAGTCTCCACAGGTAAACGTGTGTTTCATACTGAAACTGTGCCAGAAACGCTTTCCAGAACTATGCAGTTTTTTCTGAAAGTGAAATGAGGAATTGCACGTTTAATATTAAGCCGCAGCGACTAACTGGTTAGCTTGGAATAATGTACACGAGAAAACAAGAAGAAGCCAAATGACACTGTGAACCTGACTCTGTCTAAATGTAACAAAGTCCACGCACCTTTTTGTTTGTTCACTTTGTGCAGTAAATTAAAAAGAATGTTTATGAGGATTATTTGCTCAGCTGTTTATTGGCTTATTTCCTGGAAATGTCCTTTGTTGTTTCCCTTTAACCAGTCAAGCATTTCACCTTGCATGAAACAGCATTTGCTGTCATTTTTACATTAAATAGTTTCAGTTGTGAAATCTTATCCTCAGCACGTTTATTTTTCAAAATATAGCAAAAGATAAATAAATAAATAAATAAAAATTAGAAAATGCCATTTGCTACTTGGCGTAGAGAGCAGTCCCAACTTTATTACATTTTATTATCCATATTTAAAACTGTGAATGGGTATTTATAATAACATTGGAGGCCAATCTTCTAATATTCATAATAGGTAGTTTAAGAAAGGCCCTTCCTGTTTCATATCATATACTTTTTTGCCCCTTTGGTAGGCCGGTCCAGGACAACCTCAGACGTTACCCAGGGACACCAGCCATCTGTCACTATCCCTTACTGCAGCAGGAAATGGAACAACGCACAGGGTAAGTATACTGTCCTTCTGGGGAGGCAGTAACATCCAAGTATATTGAAGCCATTTCATTTAAAACCTATTAGCTTAATTTATAGTGACACAACTTTGATGCTGCTTGTAATCCTAGAGTAGGTTTGTGAGTTGAGATGCTGAGCAATGAAGAAAATAAATAAATCATTGGGCATGGTCAACAACAATAAACGGTGCTCAGTTGGTACTTCAGGGTTAAAAGTGTGCTAAGAAAATATTCCCCACCCCGTTACACAACCACCGACACCAGTCTGAATCATTGATCCAAGGCTGGATGAGTCACTGCTGATATTTATACTACATTCTGACCTTACTATCTGAATATCACAACAGAAATTAAGACTCATCACACCAGGCAATCTTTTCCAATTCTCTACTGTCCAGATTTGCTGAGCTCATGTAAATTGTTGAGTTTACACAAACTCAGTTTTAGTTTCTTGTTCTTAGCTGACAGGAGTACAGCCTGTTATGGTAGCAGAAGGGGTTGATTTAAGTTTAGCCAATTATGCCTTCATGTTTTGCACTTCTCCGGCTTGTTCCCAGTTACTCGGCTCCTGCTATTTTTAGAAAGCTTCCTGGAAGTCAATTTCTCATCAGTTGCACATGTACATTTTGGATTTGACCATGGACCTCAACTTTGGAATTTGCATGCCCTTATTTAAACATGCAGGTGAATATGTGCAATCGACCAGTGGCCTGTCCAGCACGTACCCTGCCTCTCGGCCTGTGTCAGCAGGGACAGGCTCCAGCAACCCTGCAAATCTGAATTGTTTGAGTGGATGAAAATGGATGGAACCACGGTCTGCCCTACTGACCAGAAAGTGGGTCTCAAACTTCAAAAAGGAAATCCAACTTAAAGCTTTGCTGTTTTAATACTGTGGATGTGATCCACTGAGCATCGCAAATGAGCAACTTCCAGGAAGAAATCCAAAAATAGAGGGAGAGCTGGAATGTGAGGTGCACAGTGAGACATCTATCCAGGGACAGTCAGCCAAATTTAAATCATGTATTATTTTATTAATTGTAGTTTTTTAAAAGCAGAATCACGGAGAATGTGGATTGTATATCATACACACCGCTCTCACCTCTCTCACATGGATATATTATGCGTCAACCAGAATGCACAAGATCAGCATCGTGCTCCAGATTAAAGCAGGCAGCCATAGGCAGCCCCCAAGGTCATAAAAAGGAGATTATATCTTTCTTGTTGTTTCATTGTTACTGACCAAATCTGTCCGTCTATCTAGATATCTGGCTATCTAGTTAGCTGTCTAACTATTTATTACATGCCCTCTCACACCCTTTCTCTCAAATGATGTGTTTCATTGGGCTCAACTCTGAAGGCAATGACAAGCTAACGCCTCTTGATGTGCCGCAAATGAGCACATGCTATTAGGGCCGCACGGAGACAGACAGAAAAGCGTTTTCAACCCAAAACATTACAAAACAGGACTAAATTTAAACCACTCAGTGAAACTTACCATCTGCCTTAAACCACCTCCTGAACTCACAGATGTCGTCAGAGTAAAAACTTTCAGGGCATCATTCATTTCATCTTCATGTTACACACAAGGAGGATTTATACTGTTCAAATGAGGAAGTAACTTTGTTGTCTATAGCAAAGGTTTTTTTTCAGTTTAGGCAACAGATGTCAGTGTCTGAAATTGACATGTTCCCTGGATCTGTGACGACATCTACGTGGTGAAGCAAGGCAAGCAGCCTGATGCAGATTATTAGAGATAAGCATTTTGCATCTAAAGGTTGCGTTGCCTCACTGTTGCGTCAGTGTTTCAAATTTAATGTTGCTCATCAAAAAAATACCCACATGATCAAAGCAGTGATCCCCCCCCCCCCTTCAAGTCAGTTTGAGATGCATACTGTTGACCTATATGTGTCACTTTTTATTCTGGGGTACATATACAACCCAACAGGAACTGCACCCGTGACACGTGTCAATGCATACTGCATGCCGCACAGGTTTATGACCCAGGTGTTAAAAGCCAAGTGGCCCATATTATTTGTTGGCCCAGATCATTCTAAAAGTCTAGTCTTTTAATTTTTAAAAGCCTTTTTAACACAGCTCATCTGTTAAAGACAGAAGCATTACGTGTATTTTTTCTTTTTTCCCCCTAGTACTTTCTAACTACCTTGACAAAAATCTGTAAATGATTAAGACAATTATACACATGACGATTTTCTGAGTCTTGCTTGTAGGGATTTGCTTCTGCGTTGTTTCATGTGAATTCTCTGAGTCAGATGAAATAGTTAATTTGATGACATCACCCTGGGAATTTTGAAAATCCCAGGGTGATGTTTCAGGGTGATGATGGTCGTTTCACTGCTTCATTTTGCAGATACACTCTTTTGCTGTGTCTTCGCAGGTTGCACAAAACATTTTATGAAATGTGATGAATTACTATTGATAAAAACTAGCAGTTACCAAAGTTTTCAGAAGGCAGACCTCAAACATCTCCTCAACAGCACCATCTGTCATGTCACAGATGTCAGATGTGGTCTTGTAAATGTAGTACAGATTACTGAACATTATTGAACATTAATTAAACATTTAGGGTGGTGGATGTCCAGCTACGTCTCAGTGTTCGTTTGTTTGCTTCTGGTTGCGTTTGTAATGCCATGAGTCGCGATGCGAGAAACTGTTTTTTGTAATTATAGTGTTGCATACTGTGTCTGTTTGGCTTGAGGCACATCACGTATCACTTTCAACAGTTCCACTTACTGTTTTAAATTTCTTATTACTTTGTAAAATGTTTAAACAACTGTCAGACTCATACTATAAAGCTATAAGTCCAAATATGCAGAACTAGCAAGAAACCACAGAACTGTGAACTTTTTTACTCTTTGTACTTTTTCATATATAATGGAGAGTTGTTACACATGGTTGTTGCTTCTTGCTGAAAAAGCCACACTCTGATCTTGCAAACAAAAACTGTTGGGCAGCTGTATTTGTGTCAAAGTTAGCAAAGTCCTGGTATGAATATTGAGCTGAGAACACACCTTCCTGTCTGAGCTGTTATAAACGAGGCTGGCTGTATCGCCTGATAAAGCTAGCTTCCCTCTAGAATGGGGAAGTAGTCATGAGCTGAGGCACAAGGGACAGATGAATGGTTTTCACATTTTTACACTCAGGCGAAAGAGCGTCACGGTATGAAAGGACAGAACGCTGAGAGCTTTAACTCGACAGATAAGACACAGAAACACGAGCTGGCCCGGACGGTACAGCTGGATACAGTCATCCAGTCAGAATGAGCACCTACGCTGTGAGTTACTTTTCTGTGTGTTCTACATTCTACTGTTGGAGCTTTGGCAGCTCATGTGAAGTTACCCAATTGTCGATCGTGGCGATATCACTTACTCATATTATCCTAATGAGAGGTGATGGTTCTGATTTTGTTATACTCACAAAAAGCACATTTGACTGTGTTTTTTTTGGGTCGGTGTGAACCCCGTTCAGTATCTAGGAGCCTTTGTGTCTGAGTTAAATGAGTGCTACACGATTAACGTGTAACTCTTACTGAGTAATATCTGCCTCTTATTAACGTAAAATGAACAGGGACACGTGTGCCTGTAAATACGTCTGAGCAGCGATAGTAAAAAAAGCATTTATGTGTTTTATCTGGCAGGATGTGAGCAGGGCAGAGGAAAATAGTTTGAGTGCGGTTAGATGAGTGTTGCCCTGGGTTCATTTGTACAGTTAACTGAACGATCGTATCGGTATCCTGTTTTTTAACATGGGTGTGATATTTGCCCAAACTGCTGGTTGCCTCTCTTCAATAGTGACAAGTACAGTTTTCTCAGTTTTTACATTTTCGCTATTAATTCTTAATTTGATCATTCTCTGCAGAAAATAAAATGGGCTGTTATTTTATTTGAAATTAAATATATATGTATACATATGGTAACTATACTAATCCACCTTTGTCTTCTTGCCTCCCTCTATCTCGCTCCTTTCTCTCCTTGTGTTTCTCGTTAGCTGTCACCTGATTTCCTCTTTGGCAGCCACCGGAGAAATGCTGACAATGGCTGGCAGATGAAACAGGTAAAACTTCTCTCTACCTGCTGCACTCACCAGAGGGTATCTAATGCATTTCACCTTGACTTTCACATTATAAAACAAGTCAAAGACTAAAGCGCCCTTTACTTGCTTTACATACTCTCCCTGCACAACAGGATGCATTTGGTTAACAAAATGGGACATCATAGAACTTTTGGTGACTTTGTCTCCCATCTCGACTTTGTCACTTTGTGAGATAAAATCCTGCTTCATGGTTTGCGTGCATACAGCATCTGCTTGGCCTGACTCTTCGTCTTTAGAAGAAACCTTTAGATGACAGCCCTTCCTTGCCTTGTGCTTTTCCTTTGCAGGCCCGACTGTTAACATATTCCTGAGCATTTTGTCAGCGTTTTAAGGGCTTTTGGTGGAGGGTGTTTTCCTCATGAAAATCAATGAACTCAAGTCATTAGATTTGCAAAAAGTGCATCTGAGCTGTATTACTGTAGAATATATTAAAGTTATTGCCAGCTATGCTCTTTAGATTCTCAGAGATCAGCATTTATGCATATTAAGGTGGCGAAATAGCAATTCTTGGTGTAAAAAGAAAAGCTGTTACCCAAGCAGGTCTTACTGCAACATGTTGCATCACAGTGGGGTGTGGGTGCACTTGGTTTAAAGCCCTTTTAAAGGCCTACTCTTAGCAAAGGAGCAGATTTGGCTCTTAGTGCTAATCCTCCACATGAGGAGATGGCAAACATTAGGAGGGATATTTAGTCTGATTGTTGGAACTAGGTTACATGGATTGGGAAGTAAACTCAATTGTGGCTTTTGCTGCATGAAAAGTTAAAGTAGTGTGAATTTGTGCATCCGTTGTTTTTGTAGACACAAGGGATTGTAAGCCTCAGCAGTTTGTCTGTTAAGTGCAGAGGCACGTATTGTGCCTCATTGTGTCTCTGGCAAACTCATTTGTCCCCATCTGTGTAAAAAGTTCAGTGTGGATGCTCATTGTGTTGGAGTGCTGTGTAAATATAGAAATGTGTATGTGACACTGTTGTGCAAGTAGAGCTACTGCTACGTTGTTCTTCCTCAGTTGATTAAACTATATACAATTTAATTCTGACCTCAACCTAACACAACAGAGAGAACTGAGAGTCAAAGGCTAAACCTCTCAGAGAGCTGATGCTGGGATACATCCGTATAATTTGCTGCTGCAGAGTGAGGTGAAGGATATGCAAATGGACAAATGATAGCAATAAAATATCTATTTTACATCTTTTTATAGACTTTTATGCATGTCTGTCAGAGAAAAGTACAAAGATCAGAATCGTTATCTTGACAAAATATATTTGTCAACAAGGCCACTGTGGGTGCCAGCCCAGCTCACAGGTTGAATGGGTTAAATGCAGCCGTGCGACCCTAACCTGACACCCGTTGCTGCGTGTCTGTCCAAACTCTTTGTTTCTCTCCCTGCATTTCTGTCTGTTCTTCACTGTGCTTCAAATAAACGCGAAAAAGCCCCCCATAAAACAAGCCCACTGCAGCAAAATTGACTTGAATTACTACTTTCAGTGTCAGTATGGTTAAACTTTAAAGGTGAAGACCCAATAAAGAGATATCTTTATCATAGCACCTATGAACAGTGAAGATCAGAAGTGTGATGAAGCAGGCTGACTGACTGCGACTCCAGGCTTTGTGTGGCTGATGTTTTTCTGTTTTATTTAAACTACTAAGCATTAATAAAGAGTCATAGTTGACCTTTGAAAAGCCCTTCAGGGCCTTTGTACTATTGTACTGTGGTTGCACATTCAGTTATTCATAACTACACAAGTATATCAGCTCTCAGAGGCTTTAAGTACACCATTTACAGATGTGAAAAAAATAAAATAATAGTTCAGCAAATTGCTCTTTCCTTTGGTTGTATGTTCCACCCTTTCACAACTCTCCTGAACATTTGACCTTGAAGAGCATGCAGCGTGCCGCCTCCTCTGACACCCTGAGCACGATGGCATTTAGTGACACCAGAACCCAGTGCGATGATTCTGCACCCCTGCATGATGTCAAGCAGCAACTCAACCACTCCCAGTCCATGATCCTGCCCGACAACAAGGTATTCGCCTCCCGAGCACACGCTCCACACAAGCTCATAAAGTGTTTTGACAGAGAGAAAGAGGAAACGGAGATACCCGTCAACAAATAGTTATCGCACAAAACATATGCACATACACAAACGGACAGCTGAGCAGATGACCACTGCTTCCTGTTTTTCAGCTGGTCCAGCAGTGCAGAGATTACTCCCGCAATGTGACCAACATCGTTGTGGAGCCTCCGTCTCCTGCGAGCTCGCCGGACAGTGATGGCTGCACACCGGTGAGAAAACTCCACCTGTTAATTTAAAGCTGAAGTGAAAGCATATTTCCATATATATATTTATATTTTTTTAAGGACTTGGAGAACGTGCTACTAGTTGCTTCTCTCAGCGCAGCAAGCGCTGAAGTTTTGGCTTTCACAGGACAACGAGGCTCTAAAAAATCCAGCACTGTCAGCCAAATAATTCTTCCTAAAGCATAAAACTGCAATGCTTATTTTCTAATAATAACAGGTTGATTTTTTAAAAAGTGGTTCTCCATAACGCATTCCTTTGTGTGCCTTAATGACAATCAACCTTTTCTTTTACTGCATGTGAGGTAGCTGGAGGTTATCCCAGCCATCATAGTGTGAGGGGTGGGGTGCACCCTGTACACATCAGGTGCATGTGCTCTTATTTGCAGGTGTTCTCTTGGTTTACTAACATGTTTCTCATAAAACAGAGCAATTCTAATTTTTGAGTATTATTTTTTTTCTACCACAGTTCATTTGCAGAAGAAGTTTAGGTTTGTAGGTCATCACTGCTTTTATACGCATACCATATGAGCCGTAAGTTCATCAATACCAGTAAATTTGTTCTTTTACCTTAAACGGGGCCATACCGCAGTGGGAGATTTTAAAGCATTTCCCCTCCTCCTATTTCTTGAATGATGCAACAGCCAAGTTTAATGCGTTTGCAAAGGATGCTGTAATATTACACAGAGGAAAATCCTGCTGTGGTGCTGTAATGTTAAAATTCAACTTGCCCTCACACACTTCTTTGTGCTCTTTTTTTTATTTACTCCACTCCTGCTTTTTCTGAGCAATGCTGCCAACGTGACACTGTAAATATCTCTGAATACTGCAGATGTTAATGTGCTTTTAAACCCTTTTAATGTGTTTCTAGGAGCTGGAGAAAGCGGGCCTGCTGAACAAGACAAAAATTGCAGAAGGTGGCCGAAAACTGAGGTGAGGCGGCTCTTAGAGAAGATGAAAAAATCATTTTTTAAAATTAATTCAGCAAGTATGATTTTGCTAAGTGAATCCCAGCTTATGAGTACATGCATTCTTGTTGACTTGCAGGAAAAATTGGAGCCCTTCCTGGGTGGTGTTAGTGGGGAACAGTTTGGTTTTCTTCAAGGACCCCAAATCACAGACACCTTCTAGTTGGGTAAGAGCACAGACAGACTCTTTAATTAAGGATTTTAGAAAATGAATACTATTATTAGTTATTGTTTCATAAGAACGCATATGTTGTATTCCTGGGGGTTAAAAAGCTTGTATAACTAGATGAACAAGATATTATAGAGGCCAAATTTTTTGGTGCCTTGGTATATTTTTTTTATGTCCCTAGCCCACCAAAAAGAAGGCCTTTTATTGCTTGTCTAAACCTGGCTTGAGTGCCTGGATGTGGATTTGTTCATGGCATTGTTTGGTGATTCATTCGTTCTTTTTACCATTATTACTTTCTACAAGCACCGGTGGTTTAGGGAACACCAGGAGCACTCCTACTATTGATTTTTCCCAGTTATCCAACACTTATGAATATTTTTTCTGTTTTCTTTAGATGCCAGGATTTTTAAGCCTCCACAGTTGCCATCATGTTTTGGTTTTTCTTATGTTCATCCCATTCTTGTAAAAGCCTGCTCTTTCTAACAGTCATTGGTAGTTGCAGCCTCCTGTGTTAAAGAGCAGTTTTTAATATTTTTGTTCACTATGCTGTTAAAGTTAAAGAGGTCATGCAGACCAGTTACAGGTGTTATATGTGAAGGTTGGTCAGAATGTGACAAAGTAGGGCAATACAGGCTGCACAACAAAATCCAATTTTTAGAAACAAAAAGTGGTCAATTCAGGCAACTGAGTCATGAGAGTAAAAGAAAAATGTGTTTCTTATACGCAGAAACCGGGAAACAGTCGTCCTGAGAGCAGTGTGGATTTAAGAGGAGCAAAACTGCACTGGGCCAACGAGCTGTCCAGCAAGAAGAACGTCTTCAAGGTAAGAAACAAAACCCCCAAAAAGTGAAATAAAGATTGCAAAACCTGCAAGAAACTTTGACAGACCTGTGGTTTCATCCTCTTAAAATCTTTCTCAAGAATTTTTTTTTTCTGTGATCCTGGAAACGAAACACGTCGGTTTCCTTAGCAAAATGTTCCTTTGCGCTGATACACTGGGAATATACACTGGGGCTATTCTGTCAGCAGTGAGGGAAGCGAGAATGGGAAGCTTTCTTTCGCCAGCTCGGTGACCCATTCTGACGAAGAGGAAGCAGTAAAAATATTTTTAAAGAGAAATCTGATAAACTGATGAGCTAATTATAACACTACGGTCAAGCTACTACAACACGTCCAAATAATTAACTTACATGTCAACTTTTGTTAAAGTGGATTCACACAGATGAGTGGGAAAGCCAGTGGAGAGTGGGACAGTGCGTCTGGAGTTAACATGGGTCAAATGTTTTGTTTTGTTTTGTTAGTTGAGGACTGTGACAGGCAACGAGTTTCTTCTGCAGTCAGAGACGGACTCGCTGATCAGAGAGTGGTACAGCACCATCCAGAATGTCATCGACAGGCTGGTGAGAAACACACACTCACTCACAGACACACACAGCTGGACAACACAACCCTGTGGGTTTAAATATTACTGTCAGTATGTCTGTCGTTTGCCTTTAGCTACAATATGCAGGCTGTCGCTCACTTCGCTCATGCATTTGGAAAATTTTACCTGTAAAACTCTGTAAAAGGTTTTAAATAACCTCCTGTGTTTTTTACTTTATTAAACTATGGTGTTGTTTTTTTTATGTTATGCTGTTTAATAAACCCTCTGTCTCATATGAGGACATCAAGGTTTTTAAAGGAAAAAAACCCTGTTGTTCAAAGATGATGGTTAGTTTTTAAACTTTTAAATAGGAGAAAATGAAAATGTATCCCAAGAAAGAAGTCATGCCTGAAGAGGTTAAATACTTCTGTTCCATTTCTAAATGTTGGTCTTTTATGACTTACGTAAAGCACTTAAAAATAATCTTTGTCTTGTAGAAAAGCTTCACTGCGGGAAGTTCTGCAAAAAATGTTTTTTTTTTAATGATTCATGTGTGCTAACATAGTTGTTTCCTTTGAACAATGACTGACTTTCCATTCTGCGTTTAGTAAAATCATCTGTTCTATTTTTGTCGGTGCGTAAATATTTTTCCGTGAGCTTTCTAAAACCTACTTAAGTGGGCTAATACACCTATGTGCAATGTTTTCATGTGTCTGAGCGAACACACAAACTCCAAGTGGTCCCTTGGACCACTGTGAGCAACAGCAGACATGTGCACTGTGGTCACGCCAGCATCGAATCCATCCAAGTTACAGGGTTTATTAAAATAATCAAATTACAGCATTTACATTTATGTTAGACTACTTTTAATTAACTGCTTTAGCCCACTTACAATGAAAATTAAAAAGCAATCTTGTTCATGACCTGTGCAGTATGTTAACACTATTGGAAGCATAAATAACTTGAACTCCAATTTTGAAAACACAACTTTCTTCTTTTATTTTATTTTATTTTATTTTATTTTATTTTATTTTTATAAAGCGCTGACTTGTATTATGAGTCTGTGGTCTGGGAGAGAATCCTGTAACTCTCTGTCTGCAAAATACAGTATATAATAACGAATGTTGGGCAATTAATTATACAGTTACTTCTTCAAAAAAAGTTACTGAGTTTTGCAAACAACAAAGTTTTTTGCAGCTGTTTACCTAAAAATGCAGCCAAGGCATTTTTAAATAAACATTTCAAACTATTTACAGAACAATCAGCTGTTCTGCATCAAATCTGATGCCACACAGATTATTTGTGCCACTCCAAAAAATAATTTGTCCACTATGAGATGAAGGAGAACAACAGCCTGATACCTGCAGGCCTGACAACAGGAGATGTATCACTGCTGTAACACCTCTAACATCCAGCAGTCGCCTCATTGTTCTGACACACAACAAAACTATTGACTACACTACACACTAACTACACAATATTTGCATAAAACGTCACAAATCTCTCACATCTCAAAACACCGCCGTCACTTCTAAAACTTCCCCCTTCCTAAAAAACTAAATGCTATGTTGCCATATCATTTTTTGATTGGTCGACGTGGTACATTTTTCCACCAGTAGGAAAGGCTGGAGGTTTCTTGGTGTCGTTTTTGCTCACAGGCTTTTGAGCGTTTTTCTTATAAAACGCAGTTTTTACCGTTTCTTCCCGCAGTAAATATAAACAACGACAGTATTCAGGAAGAAAACCAAACATTGCAGATATTTTTATCATAACTCTGGTTTTACGTGGCCGATCAACACAATTTAAAAACTGGTATAAAGTCCACACTTTACCCGTCAGTTGTTCTGTCTGTCCTGCTCACATCTCCAATGGTTGTACATGTTGTCATTAACGTGGCTTCACTCCACATCAGCCGCTTTGCCAGCTAAAACACCGGTGCCGGCACACAAGGACGCTGTCATAGCCTGTCGACGTTGATTAGCTGCGTATATACGAATGTGAATCGCATCATTGGCTGGACTATGGGATAAGGTGGCATCGTTCTAATCCCATACGGGAGCAGCCAGTCACTCACTGACTAACACTGCAAAACTGAATTGTTGAAATTTTAATTTTAATTTCAATTCAGGTTAGATTTTTTTTTCTGTGCGCAGAGACCGTGCCAGCAGTGCGCAATTGCGCCTGCGCCCAGCTTAGAGGGAACATTGCACGTGCATCTCTGTAATGTCATTAACACACTGCTCCCTCTGGCTGCTTTTCAGGACCGTGAGAATCCGTTAGACAACGTCCTTCTGTACTCTCTGAGGAGGGCGGGCAGCGTGGAGATGCTGGACCAAAGCGGTGACGAGGACGACAGGCGACCATCTCGTAAGCCATCCTCACCTGATGCCTCGCTTCTTTCCCTGATGCCGCCATCTAAAAGCCCTCCCTGCCCCCCACTCCACTTTAATCACATCCTTTCTCTCCATCATCATCATCACTGTTTTTTCTAAACTTCCACACAGGCTTCTTGCATCCCTCCATCCTGTCTTCCATCCTCTCCTCTATCCAGCCCACTTACATTTTCACCCATCCTCCCTGGCAGATAATCCCCTCGTCCGTCCTCTCCCACCTCCGCCGTCGGCCCGCCCTCCCGCTTTTCATTCTCACCACCATCCCCTCTCATCTGCTTTCCTGCCCCACAGCCGAATGCCCCACACTGACCTCCTCCTCTTCCTTCTCTTTCCCTTCCTCCTCCTCCCGCTTCCCTCCTTCTGCAGTCCCTCGCTCGACGTCCAACCTGGAAAACACAGAGAGGAAAAGAGTGAAGACGCGGCTGAAGAAGCTGATCCTAAAGAGACCTCCTCTACAGGCCCTGCAGGAGAAAGGGCTCATTAAAGGTGAGATTTCTTTTTGAAGTCGCAGACCATTTAAATGCAAGTATCCTTTATTCAGCAGTATACAGGGTGAATCACAAAGTACATGTTCTCTTTGGCTTAGTTATTAATATTACACGACTGTGCTCTTACAGCAGAAACTGTTGCCTTTTAACTGAATTCCATCAGAGATAGGCAGCCAGGAAGTCTCAGCATTTATCTATAGTCCAACGATAGTATACAAGTATACAGCACAGGGCATGAGTTGCATTGCATCATCCAGTCTGAGTTAACTTTTCTGGTGGGAACAGAGTCAAACATGAAGGTTTTCTCCCAGAGTGAACAGAAAACTTATCAGTAAATTAACTTGGAGCTCTTACATCATGTCTTGGTTGGAAAAAAAATGTGCATGCAATCATCTGAGAAACACGTCTAAACAGACATAAAAAGCATGTTTGTGTCCACCTGTCATCGGCCCTCAGATCAGGTGTTTGGATGCAGTCTGGAGATGCTCTGTGAGAGGGAGAGAAGCACCGTCCCTCGCTTCGTCAGACTTTGTACTGAAGCTGTGGAAAGGAGAGGTACAGTCGCTGCAAACACACCTCCTGCTAATTTGATTCCCAACTCAAAGTGAACACATGAGAAATCACCCTCAGCCCTGTTTTGAGCGCAGTTTGACAGCAACTCTGAGCTCACGGTCCTCACAGTTCTTTGGCAGAACTCACCAAACACAAAGTCACTGATTGCCCGACAGAAAGCAGACACAAAATGTTCAGATTCGCAGAAGAGATCTTGACAGCTTGGCAGCCTGAAAAAGGTCTAAATGAGAGAAAATTGAGTTGTTTAGAGGCTGTTAAGAAACAATGCAGCGATAAATATTTAAGACACGGGAGAAAATGTGTGGTTTTAGGGCTTTAAAAACCAGTTTGTGATGAATAAATAAAGATGTCTTGGGAGCAATACTTTTATATCAAGACTTTTAACTATGTTTAAGGGTATGGAACAAACTTTAGGACAAAGTAAGCCAAACTTTACTGATAATTTCTGCACATATCATATATAATAATGAAATTAAGAGCATCTGATCTTTTCCCAAGTGTTAGGTATACAGGCTGCCATACTACTAGTTAAAGCAGGATGAAAAATACCCACCTTTTTCTTCATCTTACCAACTTTTCAAAGCCTGTATGAATTCATTTGAATGTCAGAGATGACTAAGATATTATAATGAGCAATTTATTCACATCTGAGAAGCTTGGACCAGTTGATGATTATTTTAAGTGGTTACATAATTAACTGATTCTTCATATTTAAAACAGATTGTAAAGCAATGTGTGGTTTTGGATTATAGTTTAATCTGAATAAATAAGTTGCTGGATAACAAACATATTTTTCTAACTTAGAAATGTATCCCGTTCACCAGGCCAGCTTTAGCCAGTAACCAGCTGCAGATTTAGATTTCATGTGACTGAGTGAAGTCAGTTCCAGCAACATGAAACCTTAAGTGTTAGTGAGTGACTGTGAAGCGGTGTGCCTTATTTAAAGGTCACGCTACAGTTAACCATTTCACGTGATGGTTTTACAGAAAGAAAAATGCTCAATAGCAGCGTCAGCGCAGGATACTTATAATCAATATGTGAGAAAGATTAAAATGTCAGGCTTGTTTTACAGCTTCTAATACTGAAAGCAGTGTGAGGAAAGCTGAAACTTAGAGCATTAGTACTCCTTTGTAACTGCTTCATCGAGCAGCATGGTGTGAAACATGAAGAGGAAGTTTAAATGTATTCATAGGCCTGGTCATATCCATGATTATGCTTTTGCATGAGCACATGATCAGACTTTTTTTTAAGGTTTTGAAAACTGCTCTACTTACGTCTCCACTTACGCAACATAACAAACTGCATAACCTCTGCATACTGAATTATTGATTTGCAGAAGATTTGGCTGCCAAGAACAGCAAAACAATGAAGTGAGCTCAGACCGGCTCACAACTGAAGACACAATCTCTATCACTCATGAAGCTTAAAAAAAATGGTCATGAGATACTTTCATTTTGACTTTGATTATCTAAGGCAGCGGTGGAGATCCCCTTGTCTAGCATGCTTTGTTTGGTGTGTTGCAGGTCTGGAGACCGACGGCATCTACAGAGTATCAGGAAACCTGGCTGTGATACAGAAACTGCGCTTTCTGGTGAACCACGGTAAGGATGCAGGGGAGGGTGGGAAACTACTGACGATAACTGTTCTGTAATAACAGGGGGGGAATATGAAGAAATTTAGGAGAGGATCAAAGTTGGCCTGTTTTTTTTTTTCCTATTTAGCAGAAATGATCTGTTTCAGTCGCTTAAAATCAAGACTAAATTTATCTCATGATGTTTTGTTTCAGAGTGCGTAACATAATGTTTGAAATCAGTCACTGTCCCACACTACACGACATCCTTATGATAACAGACACGGGGAAAAGCTGCCTGAGTAACTGTTGGTTTTTGCAGAGCGAGCGGTGACTACCGATGGCCGTTACATGTTCCCAGCGGAGTTGGTACAAGGTACATTCGGGCAGACAAGGCAAACCGCCGTTTTCACATCTTACTCAGCCTGCTTGGTTTTTGTGCATTACGTGTTGCATAATGTGAACACCTCAGTCAGAACCTCCCAAAAATACTCACCCACAGACTGAAGCGCAGAGCCGAGCCGAGGCGCAGACGGGCAGCAAACTTTTCTCTTTTTTGTGTGGATGTGTGTGTTACCATTTGCTTAATGTATGTGTGTCCCTTAGGCTTTTGTGCTTCAAGTTTTCTGATGTAATAATGTGCAGCAGGTTGTACAGCGGCTTCTCACACAGTCCGTGGCTGCCACCAAGTGGCTGAAACAGAGAATCAGCTGCTCGTGAAGCGCTCTACTCCCCCAGCAACATCTCTGATGTTTCACATCATAAGAAAATAGAGATTTGTTGACTGCCGTATATCAATATCAGCCTCAAATTCGTTTCAGTGCCTCTTATAATCCAACATGAGAAGCATTAGTCTGGCTTGTGTCTAAAAAAACAAGTGTGCTTTATCCTTTAAAGTGTATGTGTACTTGTGCGCCAGTGTTTGTGCTTGTTACTTTTACAGAGCATCTCTATCTCCCTCCTGCAGCTACAAGCCTTCATGTTACGCCTCAGTGCTGAAGTGAATTTACACTTTGCTTATGTCAGCCAATCCTGTGACAATTGTGACTCTAAATTTAAACTCTTTGTCTCTGTATGTCGTATCCCTCTCGCCTTTCCTTCACTTCCCCTGACCCCGTCTGGCTGAATCTCTCCTCATCCTCCTCCTCTCCCTCTCTGTCTCAGAGGAGAAGTTGAATTTGGACGAGAGCGAGTGGGAGGACATACATGTCATCACGGGAGCTTTGAAACTCTTCTTTCGCGAGCTTCCCGAGCCCCTCGTGCCGTACGGCTTCTTCACCGACATTGTGGAGACAGTCAGTGAGTAACCAGTTTCAGCCCCGGACTGTTTATTTTGTAATCTGTATAAATATTCTAGATTAAGAGTGTGAAGTTAATTTTCCCACACGACCGGAAAACTGGGACTGCCCTCCACCACAGTCCCTGTTTCCGTTGGGAAAATGAATCGCCCACCCCCATCTTGAAAATAACTCAAATAGATTCTCATAACCTTTTGCCTCGCGCGCACGAAGTCAATTTTTAATGTGCTTCGTGTTTGAGGTGAGATATATTTAGGCTCAGGAAGATATTTGTCATTTCGTGCTTTTTACTTGGTAATAATGGTCCAGGCGATGCAGCTGCACAGTCAGCTTCTTAAACGTCTAGACCACCAGGACGCCCACTTTTTAATTTCACATATTATTTTCCTCTGTTGTAGTATTTTGAATACACACAACACGACTGTGGTCTTACTGAGTCAAAACCAGCGTAGGCTTGGTTAGAATCTTAAATCGTTTTCACTTTGTTTTCACACTTCACTCGACTCCCTTTCCATGTTTAGAAAATGTTATATCGTTATACTGATGCAGCATTTGCGTAAACACACACATATGTGTAAATAAATAAAAATCTTTACATTTTACGTCCTCAAACTTTCTCACAGCTATGATGAAAGGCATTTTTGTGAAGCTCTGTTTGAGTTGAACTGGAAACTTGTCACAGACGCCGTAAAACGATCAACAATTTTACAATTTACTTTCACATGCACTACATTTTTTCCCCTCCTTAAAATGTGAATCTTAAAAAGCCACAAATATTCAATTAAAAAAGGCCAGTGATGTGTCAGAATGACTCTTAAATAGTTTTTTGCATCGACTCCAGCAAACACTTATTATTAGTTTCAATTTATTTGTTATCTTTTGTGAGAATTTGCTGACAGTGAGAGTTGCATTTCCTTTACTTATGTTCAGATTTCCTGCGCTTACATGATATGGCACTTTATCTCATTATCTTCTACTTATGCTTAAAGACAGGCAGGCAGACAATCTGGCATCTTACAGTAATTCCTCTTAGTAGAACATTAGCATATTAAAGATCAGGAAAATATTTTAAAAATGCATTTTGTCATCGATGCATTGGACACTTTTTGTAGACTGTGGGCACATGGATTGATCTGCAGATAAAGTGTATCCGATTAGATAGCGGATGCTCGTAATATGATATCAGTTGGGGGATGTGTCTAAAAATGCTAATAAAATGCATGATGACACTTGGCCTGATCTGATGCATATCTTGCTCTGTGTTGCAGAAATGTCAGACTATATGGACAAAATCGATCGCTTGAAGTGTCTGGTGCTCAACATGCCTCCTCCAAACCACGACACGCTACAGTTCATGTGCCGCCACCTCAAACGGTGAGAATAACCCACGTCTAGTGTTTATTCTACTGATGTGTTCGTGTTTTTTTTTTAGTCTGTGCCTGTTTTTATTGCCTGTAATGGTTCCAGTGCCCTTAAATGGGTAGAGTTCATAATGTTGGGTATTTCCTCGAGGCATTTAGGGACAAATGAATGAACCAGATGCCCTGGTAGGAAAGGAAAATATCTTCCTTTTCTTTTAAAACCTGACCACAAGAGGGGGCACTTCCCTCGTTGGTCTCCGAAATTTCTGTCGGGGATTCTTTGGCCACAGCTCTCAAAGTATGCCAGCGCTGAACCGGGATCACACTGTTGTTAACTTTGGGTCCCTGTGAAGATGAAAAGGCTGGAGGAAGATGAATGGTGTACAATGTTCTGCGAGCCAGTTCCTTTTACAGTACATAAAATGTGTGTTTTTTACCGCCTATGGTTTTTCCTTCCACTCCAGGGGTGAGTGTTCGTGTTCTGAGGACGATATTTGTGCCAGGGTGTGGTGGGCCCCATGAATTTGTCAACTCTGTGTCTTTCTCTCATTTTCTCTCCGCTGTCATTCCTTTCTCTGTTTCTCATTTATTATCTTGCTCCTTAATCAGGTCCCTCGCCTCCTCTTTTCCTGGCACGCTACCCACCTTTCCTGACTTCCTCTTTGTCCCTCTTTTCTCTCTTTTCACTCTCCCTTTCCCCTTCCTCCTTATGTCCTCCTCTTTTGATCCCTTTCTCCTTGTTCTCCCTCTTCCTGCTCGCTCTTCCCTCCCCCCCCCCCCGCTCTCCTACTTGCCTCGAAGGTCCCATGGGAGCCTTGTGGTTCGTCTGCTGGAAGGCATACCAACACCACCGCCGCCACCACTGGAACCTCTCTCTCGTTCTCTCTCTTCTCCCTCTTCCTCGCTCGCTTCTTTTTTTCCCTCTTCCCTCTCCTCTCTCCCTTTTTTCCTCCTCTCTTTTTAATGTGGAAGTTTTGAGCAATTGCTGGCTGCTTCTGTGGCTTGGTGGGAATGGCATTTTTAGAAGAATGCCTCATGCTGTGGCTTTAACCATTCCTTAGTTCCCCCCCTAATCACACACACACACACACACTGTAACACACACATACGCTAGCATAGGTGGATGCAAGCAGCGGATTTAGAACACTTTTGTGCACAGATCCACGTTATAAAACCCAGATGCATGTACGTGAAAATAGATGCAAAAACAAGATGTGACAGATGGATATACAAGTTGATTCTTGTAGCTGACTTCCTGAGTTAAGTAAAAATTATAAAGATGTCACATCGTGACCACAAACATGAACCTTTAGGGGAAGGTTAGTTGTGGTCTCTATGCTTGCTCTATAACTTGACACGAGTCTGCAGTTGTGCTTGCAACTCTGTGAAAGTAAATGCTAATGGATGTATGCCAACACGAGCACAAGAGCAGTGCTAACGCTGCTATAGCCGCGTCCAGTTTCTCAGTTTAGGGATTTAGCAGGATAACACTTGATGATTAGTTAAACTTTAATCTGATCATGACTCCAGCCAAAATGTTTCACGCCCATCCTGAGCTGTGCCATGTGTTGCTACTTCAGTGCTACTCCATCCAACAGCGGTTGAGACCTTTCACTCAAAACCACAAATGTCAACCTCATGCTGGCTTTAAGGAAATGTCAGGGATCACCAAAGTCAGTAAAGTCCATCCACTAGTTGCTGGGATATTTCAGTCTGAGCTAATGTGGTGGGAATGGATGACATCCCTAGAATCACTGAGCACGTGTCTCTAAAAATTCAGAAGCCGAAGCGATTCCAAATCCTTTTTGTCGGCAAAATTATTAACCTGCGCTGTCCACTCTCTCGTTTCCCGCAGAGTGTTGGAGCAATCTGAAACAAACAGAATGACCACCCAGAACATCGGCATTGTGTTCGGGCCGACGCTGATGCGCCCAGAGCGGGATAACGGCAACATGGCAGTGAACATGGTTTACCAAAATCAGGCAGTGGAGCTCATCCTCACTGAATTTGACCACATCTTCGGAACGAGAGGCCTCTCTTGATCTTTTGCTCCTTGACATCAGACAAAAGCACAAGTTTTGGAGCATTTGTCTTCCCTGCCTGTTGACTCATATGGTGTAAAATGGATTTCACATCAAAAGATAATTACGGGTTAAAAAGAACCAGGACAGAAAGCTGCTAATCATGACATCTGGCGTCCATATAAAGCCATGCTAAAACAATAATAGTAAAACAAGCCAATTTTAGCTCCAGTACTTGTGCCTTTGACTGCAGATGTGGAGCCCAGCCCCGGTGAACTTCACTGCTGGAACAGACGCCTCCTTGTCACTTTTCCTTGATGTTTCAGACTTGATCCAGATAAATAAAAAGCCGTAAAAGCGATAAATCTTCTCCAGCCTGTCCTGCTAGCGTGTTTCAGTCGGTAATAATCGAGGATTGGGAGGAGGAATGTGTCTTAAGCTAGCACTGAAACAAAACTTGGCGAAACCATCTCACTGTGAAAACACATGCACCAGCACCTCTTCAAACAAGGATGGACAGATCCTGCCTGGATAGACGTGCACAGGTGCCCACATCTCCACCATTTTTGCAGGGTTTATTTGAAGGAAAAAAAAGTAAAAGCATGAATTCAGTGGCAGAATGAATGTGCCAACAAGGCAGAAAAGGTTCCTTTTTACCAAATAGTACTTTGTAGTGTCAGAGCAACCCTTATTTTACTAATTTGAATCTGTCTCCTATTTTTAATAGTGCAAATTCCTAATGTTAAGTTAAATATATTGTTGTAAATATGTGAAATACTGTCTTTCTCATCTAGTAGCACTTTGCATACAGTGTTCAACCTAAATATTACAATTAGCTAAATTCAAACTGATACTTTTGCTTTGAAATGAAGAGTGTTGGATCTGACTGTTTACTCCTCCTGCAATAAAAATATGTGAACAAACTGATTTGAGCCGCATTATGATATTTGCTCAGGATGTGTCCTGTCAGGTTGTTTGTTGTTTGAGCGATGGGTTCGCGTGAGAGATAGTAGAAGCGTGTGGAGCTATGCGGGCCTCGGAGACTCGGCGGGCGGAGGCATCCCCTGTGATTGGTGCAAATGCTGCTTTTAATAACAGAACAAAAGAGGAACTGGAAATGCATATGTTTTAAAAATGTGGATTTTCCCCCCAAACCCTCTCACTCGCTCACTCTGTGGCCTGGGTAATTTTATATTGACTGTGGGTTTGGCAAAAGACAAAAAAGAGCAGAAAAGAGGCACTGCTGTGGGGGTGGTGGTGGAGGGGGCTCTGCTCTGTTTTATTGGATGTATTTATTCATTTTTATGTTTGTATTATTTCAAGTCATGTGAGCACATTGGGAGGGGCTAAGATTATGTGCGGATGATTGATCAGGGAGTCTATGGTGCGCTTCCAGTTTGCTGCTTAAATTTGATCAACTTTTCACCGTAGACAAAGCATGTGGCTTGTGTGCATTTACTGCATTTACATTTACAATATGGCCATCAGTCAGCACTGCTGGCTTTTCATTTGTTTATTTTAATTTCTTTGTTTTATTTCTTCATCCAAACTTTCAAAATCATACCGAATGTTTCCATTTATGACACCGAGATAATATAAACACGTGGAAGCACGTGATCCAGCCTATATTTCGTAACGATATCTTGCTATGTGTTTTTTGAATGCTCTCCTAATCCTGAAACTGAAGAGAAATTTCTGTTGGTAGAAACCAGATGGCATTAAAGCGCCGTCTGACCAAGACCAAGCTCTGTGATGTGTTTTATTTCGCTTTGGTGCGATGGTGCTAATCAGCCCCTAAAACTCTAATCAGACAGCGACAGAAACAAACAGACCTCGCTCCTAATCAGCAATTTGTTGGCATCAAAAGTCAGACTCTATTACATCATCCCTACTTTGTTCTTGCTTTGACTTATTTATTGCACGATATATATTTAAAGTAAAGCAAAACACAGCTTGTGCTTTTGTGTCAGGATGCAGACAAGACAGCAGATGTGCTGCAGGCTCGTGGAGAAATTAGTTTACCAATGCATTTTTTAACTGCATTTTTTCGCACACGCAACTCTTTTTTTTCTGATTGATTTTTTTCCTGCTGGCATTCTGTGTGGCATTTATTAATTAGAATTAATTTGTGCTTCTCTGCATTGATCAAAAATCATTTATTTTTCACAATCAACATTTGAATTAGCTGGAACCTTCTGAATCCACTAATCAGCGCGTCTCTAAACGGACTGAAATGAAGTGTGGAGCTAAGGCTCAGGTTTGAATTCTCTTCTTTCAGTTTTATCTTCATTTGCACTCTTGTAAATTTTAGGTTCAGCTTACTGTTGGAGGAAAAGATGCTAGTTTAGGAAGATAATGGCTTACACAGATGTCTTGACCTTATTGTTAGATCCACCCACCAGTGGAATACATCTGTAGCTCTGTTCGGTGTGTCACTCAGCTGTTACTGGGAATTGAAACTTAAAAATGCTCAGCACTCAATCTGACAACCTGTTACCCATGACTGGGCCTTCCCGCAAGTGATGCTGCATAACCGAGGTGTTATAGCTCTCTTAAAAACTATAATGCAAAAATTTGTATCAACTTTGCTCTAAGTCAAAGAGCAGGGCCAGCCAGTGCTGCAGTGCAACAGTTTACTGAAGGCCGCTGATGCATGGCACCCAAAAGTATCTAACCCACGTCACTTGGCAGGGTTCGTTATTGTTACGGTTAGCTGACTGTTTACCCAAACTACCGTTAACCTAAAGCTTAGTGTATCAAATATCAGCAGAACTGCTCAACCTCTGTTTGCCCCAGCCACACACACAGGTTCACAAGCGCAAAGCAGGCACCTCTGATGAATCATCATGCAAATAAAGAGAGCCACAAAAAAGCCAGTGTAACAAAACAGTCTCGAGATCTTGAGTGTTGATGGAAACTGTTTACCGTGATGGGAAACTGAGTGGTCCCCACAACTGAGCTTCAAAACTGTCTTGTGCAGATGTTTGTGCTTAAGCAGAAAATTCAAAAAGCTGAGGCATTTGATCGTTTTTATAGCGATGTTGACCAGAAAATCTTTTAAGGTGCTTTCTGATTTCAACACATCGTGGCTGCTAAAAAGAAACCAGCCCATTTTGGGGCCACATCGTGAGGTTTAATTCGAAAAATCAAGGAAATGAGAGGTTCTGCTGAAAAACATCTGTACAGTTTTATTACAAATATCCACAAACATGCAAAAAATATATATATATAAAAGATAATACAAATATTGCATGAGTGCTAGGAAAAAATAAACAGTACTTGATATAATGAAAAAGTGTGCAGACACTGAGGGAAAGTAAAACTATTTTTTTCGCTCACTTTTTTGGAGCAAAAATATCAGGTAAGGAACTATACAAGAGGGGGGTGGCACTTGGCATGCCACATATGCACACACACACATGCACACACACACACACACAAATGTATTATGACCAAAAAAAGCATCTTTGGCCCAAGGTATGCATGAATGCTGCAAGCTTAGTCACACCTCATGCACCACCGTCTTATCTCATCGTAGCAAGGCTTTGTCGGATTACTCACAGTGTCAGAGTACATCTGAGGCACTTTTCACGTTGACTACACTGCAGTCAGAAAGAGGAAGTTAAAAGCTCATGTATGTGTCCTGAGTCTTGACCCTCTTGCCACACCTCAACAAACAGCCACAAAGTGCGACACATTATTATTATTCAGAAGGTGTGAAAACATGCTGAAGCACATGAAAATTTTTACGAGAAATGCCCGACATTTCAGCACTGAAGGAAATCAAGCCACTCTTTGTAATTATTACATGTACAGTGCGACAGTGCAAATTGTATTTGCTTGCTCTTGGGAAAAACCCCAAAGGCTGACTTCATCTTTGCCCCCTTTAACCTCTCATGCAGAAATGTAGAAATGACTGTCCTCAAGCAAGGTATACACTTTTAAAGGTGCAGTCCGATGCTTTTGGTTCTTTTAAAAAATAAATAACTACCTCCCACTTCTGCCTTCCCCTTTTTCCCCTTCTTACTCTTGGTGATTAGTTAAAGCCACAGAACAACATAGTTAACCTGAAACCTTATAATTTCACAGCATAAATGTCAAGAGCCCTACAATATAACCTGTACTATACATACGTACTCAAGCAATCGCCGGCTTTGGGACAAAGGACTAACTGCATGTGCATCTCAGCTGAAAACATGTTGCAGTTGTTGCTAATTCTTAAAACAGAGGTAAAGATTTGCATCAAATAAAAGGATAGTAGAAACTGAAAGTTATTTGCACTTGAGAATAAATATGCTAACTAGACATCGTGGCAAATCTGCTTGTAGCCTTTAACTTCTGGCCTTGATGCCACATTAAATTAAGACCAGATGTCTTTCCATCCTGCTTCCTTTAAGCTTCTAAGGCCACTCATTGGTGTGAATCTACATGCAAACAAATAAAGTACAAAAAAAAGTCAGCTGAATCCTGGATTTAGAAGGACAAACAAATGCTTTTTTTGTTGTTTTTGTTGTGCAACAGTCAGCAGCAGCAAGCATGTAAAATAGACAACATCATATCTGGATGTGTGACATGACCTCAGACTAGTCAACCCATTTTTTTAGAGGTTCTGAAAGACAACAAAAAGGAAAAAAGGCAAATATTATAGATACATCAAGTCTATTTTACAGGATAACGCTTTGAAACTCGTATTCTCACATACATTTGATTGATGGCTTTGTCCTCTATAAGGCCATGCATCCTTTGACAGTTCTGTGCATTTTGTAAGATAAGTAAATAACAAAAATCAGTCTTTATTACATACGTAAGAAAAAAAACAAGTCTTAATAGTAAATGGGTTTTAATGGCTGGTTAAAGTCATCTTAAGTTTTAATTCTGGGTAACTCTGTTAAATCCAAACTCAGTTCACATTTGTCCAAGTCTCCATTCCGGTCCTCGGTGTCCCAAGTTTGGCTCTCTGTATTGTCAATATGATCTTGCATGTCATATCTATTTCTCTCACTCTGAACTCCATTCTCACCTGCAGGTGATTCTTGTATGGGGTTACCTCCCAGCTCCTCTGCTGGGTCTGGCAAATTCACATCTGCCTCCTCTTCACGGTCATCGCAAACTCTTTCTTCCCCTTCTTCCTCCTCCTCCTCCTCCTCTTTGAGAGCATCCGGCGCTCCATCCAGACTGGAATCACTGAGAAAAGAGTGTGGAGTTTGGGTTTCATCCAGTGACAGAGGGGCGTCTTCAGAGAGGCGTCCCACAAGACTGTTGCCCGCTCCCGGTGTGAGAGGCATGTCATCTTGGTCTTGGTCTGGATCCTGGTCTTTGCTGCAGTATGCGTAACGGTGGTTCATGTGCTGGGAGTAAGAGCCAGAGTGGGAGAAGCGTTTGCCACACTTGTCACATTGGTAGGGTTTCTCTCCGGAGTGCAGTCGGCTGTGTTCAATCAGATGGTGCTTATGCTTGAAGGCCTTGTTGCAGATCTTACACTCGTGAGGACGTTTGCCTGCAATGAACACACAAACCGTTTCTATTACTGAGTTTGTGTCTGACATAAGTGTGAAAAACAGTTGACGTTTGTGATGAAGAACTAAGAAAGCTATGTAAAGCTAGAGAAGCAGTTGTGTACATTTGCATCAAGACTGGAAACAGGAAAACTGTTTGCCTGGCTCTGTGTAAAGGTAACAATTTCTGATTTATCGCTCTACATGCTATGTTTTTTCTTTCCTGTGAGAAATAGTCTGACACATAACCCTAAAAAAACCACAATGCTTCTTCCTGAGATTCAAACGTTTCAATTTGTGAAATTTAGAGGTATTAGCAGGTTTCTGGACAGTCATGTTAGCTGTGCCACTGCACCATTTCTATCATGTCAACAGCTGTTGGCCTTAGCCCCATATGCACCTTAAAGACATGAGAGTTGTGTTAAACGTCAGCCAGAAAGCTAATAAGCATCTTTTGAATAATTTCAGACTATTTTTTTGAATTTTTTTTTAAGAGATAGCACCAATAAGCGGTACGTATATATTACAGGAAATATCACATAACAAGAGCAGGCCATGCGTGAGTCACAGACCTGTGTGCTCATATTTGTGGCGAAGCAATGAGCTGCTCTTTTGGAAAGTTTTTTCACAAATATCACAAGCGTAAAGCCCCTCGTCTGTCTTCTTCAGTCTCTTTCTTCCCGGCCCTCCTTCTCCATCGAACCCTTCGTCGATGAGTGAGAGATAGTCCAGAGCACCACGGTTCAATGCCTCGCCCTGCAGGAAAATGATAGCAGTTATGCATATATGTACTACTGGGGAAAGTTCACTTGGTAATTTTTTTCATCTCCCCAAGATACAGCGGTAGTCACAACCACAAAGGCATTTTTGAGACGGATGTTTGTGTGTCTGTTTTTCTGTGGAAATGCTTCGCGTACACTATAGTGTAACAATCATACCAGATGGAGTCAAAAACTTTACAGGTGTGTGCTTGACACAAAAATAAACCCTGAGTTCAAAGACATATGTAGTGTGATTCATGAATGTAGTAGGAGTTTAATATCTGCTCAACTGTTGCTGATGTGACTGCCAATTCAGCGTTTTATAACATGAGATCATCTAAGTATTGCTCATGTTTCGTTTTTGTTATTTATATAACATCTTCCACAAGTATACGTTACACACCCCACAAACGCTGGGCTCACCATTAAACCTTGTCTCTCCTGATAAATCTTTTTCAGTGTAGCCTCTGCGTCTGCCTCCATCATGTAGGCTAAAGGAGAGAGAAACCCCGGGGTGTTGGCCGTCTGGTTGAATGGAATTGATGTGATGCCTTCATGCCCTGAAAGCCCCACACCAGCCTGGCTGAACATTGGAAACCCATTGTACAAGGAACCTGGAAACACAGGAGCTCCGGCCACACTGAAGACCGGATGCGAATGCAGGGGGAGGTGTGAAGTCGGACTTGGTCTACCAAGCTGTTGGGTCCCGAGCTCCCTCCTCTCTCCTCTGCCTGAGCTGCCATTAACAGTTTTGTTCCTACTGCTCTGGTCAGAGAGCTGCTTGGGCAGGGAGAGGTCCAGAGGTTCGTTCTGTGCAGACCAGGGGTTGCTGGTTTCTTTCTGGGGCGAGGACAGTTCAGGAGAACAACTTGTGAGGTCAAGGCAAACCGGAGAAGTGAATCCTGAGGACAGAGCTCGTTTCCTGCCTCGAGGTGATGACAGCTCTGGGGAACGGTGTGTCAGCTCACTTGGGCTGCCCTTTTCCTGGCTCGGCCAGTGCAATCGCGAAGACAGGGCGTTATGGTGGAGCTGTGGGGGCGAGTGCATTGCAACCAAAAGGTGTTGTGGTACGGCGTGCCAGTTGTGCTTCTGTGATGGCGACTTATTTCCAGAAAGACCATTTGTCACTACACTTAATTTGCTGTTTTCTGGTTGGAGGACAGATCTTGGAAAGAATATAGACGGTGATGACGGGGCTTTACTGCGAAAACCCTCGGGTACCTCCGCTGCTTCTCTGTTGAGCTGACAGAGGTGGCGCTCATGATGCAGAAGTGCAGCCACACTGGAGAAATGCTGCGAGCACCAACGACACATTATCCCAAGAACACCCCTCTCTGGTTCGACCGATAGCGTGTCTCTTCTCCTGTCAGGTGAAACCTTTCTCTCATGTGATCCTCCGTTTTGATGTGCTCTTCTTTCCTCTTCATCTCCTCCTTCTCTGACAAGATCTTCATCTTTTTTTACGTCTCGTTGAAACATCTCCTGCAGCATATGCTCAAATTTGGTCCCCCCGGAGTGGAGATAAGGCAGTAGACTGGTCCCTTTGAGCATACTGGCCCTCAAAGAAAGCTCTGATGGGTCCCAAATCCTCGCCAGGTCTGACGCACTGGACAAGCTTGCGGTGCTTTGATTGAGATCCTGCAGTGAAAGCTGAAGGGGATCCACCGGTACTTGACCCAGAGGCCTGGTATTATCTTGGTTCTGCAAAACTAGCACCGAGCCCTTTTCATTACTACTTCTACCCCCACCAGCAGAGGGAGATGTTGGAAATGAGTGGGGGTAGGAGCTTTGGCTGTGTCCATTAAACACCCCGCTGGCTCCTCCTGGGTTTCCTCCTCCATGCCCGCCACCACTAAGGCACTTTTTACTGCTTAAATGGGAGCTGTAGGAGCCAGAGTGAGAGAAGCGTTTTTTGCAGTTGGAGCACTCGTAAGGTTTCTCTCCTACAAGATGAGACACAAAGTGGAGGCATTAGAGTCAGGATGCCACAGAGCAAATTGAAAAAAAAAAAAACCTTTCTGCGTGGGTGTGATCTTTTCACATTTTTCACAAGTCTCTTGTCCTGTGATGAATTATACTCGTTTCCTGTCAACACATCAATTTGGGTATAATTTTATACCATATAACTTGCAAAATAAGTAAGGGTTAGCGATAGAGTGGAAACAATAGCAAATTGATGGGTGAGTACAACTGTTTTGATGTTATTTTGTCTCACCGCTGTGGATGCGGAGATGCTCTTTGAGGTGGTGTTTGTACTTGAATGCTTTCCCACACTGCAGACATTTGAACTTCCTGGTCTCCATGCCTTGGTCCAATGTCATGGCACTCTAGGGCGACAGAACATTGTAATCAGATTTAAACTACAGCACAGATACTCGGCTTTTTTTAGGATGTGAAGACGTAAGGTTGCCACTTCTGTGGATACACAGTTGCAAATAATCACCTTATAACGCTACATAAATGTTAATAAATAAGTCGTTGCAGTTCTGAAAGAAATTTAGCTTTGAGTTTCTTTTTGTGTCTGCTCACTTTGTCCTGCACTGGGTTGTGAAGTGCTAGGTGCCGCTCCATCTCCAGCCTAAGGGTGGCAGTGTATCCACAGAGCGGGCAGACCATGTGCCCCCCCTCCCTGTCTGGACAGTACTTGACATGGTCCCTCAAAGAAGCTCCTCGAGGATATACCCTGCTGCAAAATGGGCAGGCCTGCTGGGCCCTGCCTACATCTGCTGACAAGAAAAAGGTGACATTGTTTCTTTTGATAGATCAGTTGAAGTTTTATATAGTTTCATTTAATATACCCATCTATTTTAGAAGCCACAATATATATACTCTCAAGATTACAGGTTGCCTCAATAATGCGTAATTGTTTTGTGTAATTTTAACTTTGTTTGTTTGTATTTGTCTTGAAATGTGCTGCCTCTTGGCCAGGACTCCCTTGAAAAAGAGGTCTTTGATCTCAACGGGACATTCCTGGTTAAATAAAGGTTAAATAAAAAAATAAAAATTGAACTTCCATAGGATGCATCTTAAATAGAAAAGCAGCTGTCAGTATATCGGCGGGCATATAAGCCACCACTCGTATTCTACTTAGTACAAGCAAAGTGACCCAAATAAATAAAATTAATAATCATCTGAATAAAATAAGAACAAATTAAAAACAAAAATACAATTTTTATAAGGACAATTAGACAGTGGGCTTAGATGCGTGCTTTAAAATACTCTACAGTTGCCACTTCTACAGAATAAAAGTTTGTGAGATTTAGTGTTATATTTATTTATTATTACATATTCAAAAGCAAGTACACAGAGCTGTGCATGTACAAATGACCTAACCTGAACTATGTAAATTACACTCTCACTTCGCTAACCTTTAACCTCAAACTAGCAGATACATAAAAAGCCATTACTTTGCTTTTTCGTTTCTGAGAATTACATTAGCATATATGATCTGATATATGTTATCACTGCGATTTGCTGTAAGCGTGGTGGTAACCGGCAGCCTCGAGAGGAAAAAGTTAGCATAAATTAATAATTGATTAGGTTCTTGTTGAGTATGATTGCAGCTGTGGCACTTTGGCCTACCTGGTCCCTCAGGTGAGCAGTGCTGAGCACCTGGCGACCAGATAGCAGGAGGCAGGTCATCGTGCCCTCTGCTCGGGCGGTACACAGCTGCCGTGCCATTATGGTTCAGGTGATCTAAGAAACTAGCTGAGGTAGAGGCCTTCCTCAACTGAGCCAGGATTTCATACTGGGACAGGTCCTCCAAGGCATTCTGGGAGTCTGAACTCTTACCTGCAGGGAAAGTGATAAGCATTGGATATAGAAAAATATAAGTAACTATGAATTTATACGCATGCATTTTTAACTGAAGGTTAGGACTTGATTAATCTGTTGAGATGTGTTTCTGCTTTATTGGCTATTTTAACAGAAGAACACCAGCATCGGTACAAGGTTTGTTTTTCATTCAGTTAATTACCTAAAGTAGAATTAATTTTTTTTTAAAGCACCAGAAGAGGCAGCTGTTTATTAAAAAAAAAAAAAAGACGGTGTACAACAAAAAGACCCCCGTGTGATTCCTTTGAAGATACATATTGATATATTACTGTTCCTGGGTTATCCAAAAGCCGGTGTCGGTGCTTTCTCTCTGAGTGTGCGTGTGTTGTCAGTGAAGCAGCATGTGCGCGCAGACTGAACATCAGTTGCCAACTTTCACTGTGCAACTGAATCTAAGGGGACTAAACTGTTTATGTGAAGACTGACAGATGAAACAATGAATGTAGGGAACTATTTGGCCAGATATGAAGCTAGATTTAAAAATTCTTTGTGATTCGTGCCCTTGAGCAGAGTGACAGGCAGAGAGAAAAAGCCACAGATGTACGCGAAGAAGAGACGGCGCCTCCTATCACAACTCCAGCCAATCAGCTCAGCTTAAAAGCGACTTTGAGAAAGATTTTTCAAATGTTTGCAGATGTTGGCATATTTTGAGCTGTTTTTTAATGTGGTGAAGGGAAGAGCCTGTGCGGTTGAGCGTTGTAAAAACTCTGCTTCGCCTTCATCAGGCAAGGCCAAATCACACGAGGCGAGGGAGCTAAGTGATTGTTAGTAGGCAAGCCGCGTGAGCCTTTGATCTCTCCTAAATAAAAGGGAAAGCCTCACGTCGCGCAGTTCTGATTTCAGTACCGTAACGTCACCTCTTTGATGCATGGAAATATTGTGACATTGTGTGGGATGAGTTCTTTTGTCATGCTTTCAGAAGGCTGCCTTTTCAAAGAGAAGAGTGAAAAAAAGGAACAGCTTGTAGGGAAGGCATGGTTTCACGAGGAGCTGATATGAAGGTGTATCTAGAGGGCTCTGAGAAGCATCATGAGACTGGTGGTGTTGCATCAGAAAAACACACAAACTTGTTTACACATACAGTAGTATTAAACACCCCAGCAGCAGCAGCAGCAGCAGCAGCAGCTTCAGTTGTTTCATACATATACAGTATATGTACATTTTGCAAGCATAACTGATTTGCTGTGTTAGCCTGGGCTTAATTCTGTGGAAGCACAAGCAGCAATATTTTAAAGCTCAGAAAATATGGAATTAATTTAGAATGGCAAATGAGGTGCAGCTATTATGTAAGCTTATAACTTACAGTACATCCTCAGCGGGTCCTGGTCTCCCTCCCTTTCAGTGGACATGAAGGATGCGTCCTCTGTGGCCTTGGTCTCTGACTCCACCTGGCCCCAGCAGTTCCTGCTGCCGGGGCTGAGGCTGTGCGGCCGGGTGGACTGAGCAGGGCTGCCGGGCTCCTCTGTCCCCTCGCTGGGCGTCAGGCTCGTCTTATCCAGGCTCTCCTGGCAGTCCTGGGGCTCCAAGCTCCACAAACCCACCTCATCCTCCCCCTCAGATCCCAGTAAACTCACTTGGTCGGCATCAACTGCAAAAAGATGAGACAAAACTCTCAGTTTGGACACAGGACTTCATTTTTCAATGCGGCAAACCATCAGTGTGCTCATTAATTCTGAAATGGCACGCTGAAATTTCAGTTTAAACAGAAATACTCTGCGCGCGTATATTTATTGAGACACCACTTACTATTTTTGTGCCGTCCAAATCAATAAACGGAATTTTTTTAACCATCACTCAAAATGCAGCAACATGTGTTTCTTATCATTTCAGATGGCATTCAGCGGGGTGAGCTACAGATTATTACTAATGAAGACCAGAGACAATGCTTTTAAATAAAAATATGTGAGGAACTGAAACCAAACAGGGAAGAGAAACACAAGCAAAAATTCAAAAATGTTTTGCAAATTTTAACAGTCCAAAGGGGGGCAAACACAAAATGCTGTTGTTATTTATTGTAGGTTTGCCGGTTGTTTGTTTGTTTGCATTGTTTCTCGGAAAGTAAGATGAATGACACTCTTGTCCTTTTTAAGTCGTTCAGTTGTTTCTCGTTATGAGACGCTTCGTTTGGCTTTTTGTGGTTCGATGTGCGGTTTATGATCAATATAAGTAATTTCTGGTCAGTCTCCAAAAAAGATAGTTTGAGTCTGACGCAACTGAGAACAAAGTGTGGCTTTCATTTTGAAAATAAATGAAAAAAAGACGTGTTACCGTACCCTTAGAAAAGACATATAATATACAAATGTATTAAATTAAGGCCACGATCAAACATAGCATTTTGAATGAGTTTATTTAATTATTCCATCTTTCTGTCATTGGAAAATATTTCAATATAAAATTACTTTTTTGTGGTTATTTTATGTCCAAATTCATTTTTCAATCACTTGATGGTGCGTTGTGTGACTATGCAGCAGGAATGTAATGGAGCAGTCAGAAAAAAAGACACATAACATATCGTAATTTAAAAATATGCCCTATGTGCCCAGAATGGAAAGGCGCATTACTTTTTCCCATGGCAAAGACAATAAATGACAATCACAAACACATGCCTTGGATTTCATATGTAGGCTCTTATTTCCAAGGCTTTTTTGAGGACGCTCTGTTTTTTCCTCTCTGATTAGCAATATCTAATCACAACCGAGTAACGACCCTGTACGACAAAGCCAAACCGTTGTCGAAGGGTGCGGGAAGGCCGTGCCGGCACACAGAGGGCTCCATCTCTAACCTCCTAAGACCCGAACTCTTCCACGACATGCATTTTTAATTTCTCACTGATATTTGGTCACATTGGGGCCCGATGAATGTAAAAACAAAGAATTGCCAGATTTTTTTTTTTACCTTATTTTTGTTTTTAAGAAAAATAAGAGCCACAAATGAGGATATTCATTTAAAATTTTGATAGAACAGTAGCAGTACAATGTCCTCGTAAGTGGATATCAGGCGCATGTAGAGCAAAATTGAGTATTTTGGTCTAAATAACCCAAAATGCGATGTCCACATATGTGGACGGCAGGTCCTAGGAGGTTAAAAATAAGGATTCTGATTTGCAGCATTTCAGCCATGCTCTAACTTTTCTCTTTATTATTATAGGAGTGCCTTATGTTAATAAGATCAGAAAGAAAATAAGGTTTCACAGCTCATTAAATTTCATGAAACACCAACAAAGTTTATTCATTAAACTGTCAAAACAACGCTCAGTCACTCTTGAAAGATTTTCATTTTTGTTTGAGCTGCTCCAACAACACTCACACTGGCTGATGGACACAATAATTTATGAGTGCTTTGCTTTCAACTCATCTGCACATCAAGCTACAGCCCACAGCTCGCAGTGACACAAGCCAGTGACTAAACAATGACTACGGGAGACATTTTAGAAAAACCTAACTCATCAACTTTACAGCTAGAAGAAACAAACACACACAGATAACACACACACACACTCACTCACCGTAATACTGAAAGCGCATGAGGGGGTTCAGTACTACGGAAGGGGGCAGCCCACAGTCACAAACACCTAACGCATACTTTACACATATTCCTTTGATTAATGCTGGCTAATCTCAAAGTGGAACACCTACATGTGTATCTGTTTGTATCAGCAGGTTGTGTGATCTGCCCCAACTTCACTGCACCAGGGCACTGAGCGCAGTCAAGCGAAATTCTGGTTCATCTGAGGCGAGTCAACCAATGCATGCTTCAAGCATTGCTGCTCCACAAAGGTGGAAAGCAATGACTTGCTTTTATGGGGGGAACAAAACCGGTCATTAAACGTGGTTTACCGTAGCAGGCACCTATGAAGATATGCGATGCGGTTAAAGGCGGCCCATCGGGCCTGCAGGAGACTCGGGGATGATAGGACGTACCGCTGGGACAAAAATGAGGAAAATCTGGTCTGGATTAGCATCAAATTGGCTCTAATTTTCTCTCTCATAACAGTGAGTGACACTGAGTCTACATGTGCTGTCATTAAAGCACACCGAGCTGGATGGTTTTCATTATCTGGCCTGTTGATTTATTTATTTGGATGGCAACCGCATCCTTCAAATATTTTTTTGTTGGAACAGGACAGTGAGATATTTGAAGAGCGTGAGAGTGCCTGCATTGCCTGCTAAGTAGACACTAGGTACAGAGGAGTGTAAGAGTGATGGATGCACGTAGCCTGTGAGCATCATAAGAAAGTGTAACTTGTAAAATGAGAAAACACACAGCACAGCACAGCAGAAAATAGTACACAGCCATGGTGCAGGAACTTTAGTGTGCGTGGGAAGAATGTGACTCATATCCAGACTGTGCTGCATCATGCTTGACATTGTCGATCATTCAGTCTTCAGGGGACTGATTCTGATCGTTTGACAACAACAGTGTTCAGATCACACACTGGAGTGCTATTTTAATCTGTCTGCTGCTTTCCCTGCATGTCAGTGACAGAACATCTGAAAGATTGGCGGCCTGACTGCCAGAAACACGTCTTTTTTTATAAATCCTGGCACGCCAGTCAGAACACACACTGCTGTTCTGGTTGTCGCGCGACGTGCAGTCCATCTTGAAATTCGTCTTAAGCCTAAAAAGTGAAACTTATCATTTGGTTGTTCCCAACGAAAAAGGGAGATAATGCCTGAACCACTTCATAAGCACAAACAAAGATTTTACAAAAGTAAAGTTCCAACAACAACAAAATCTGGCATAAAGAAAAAAATCCTGTTAGCTCTGAGAAGTGCACACAGTCTCAGTGCTGGCCTAAATCGGCACTGTTTATATGCCCGAGGGCATCTCCTGTACAACACCATGCTAAACTGCAGTTTATTTTACGACGCACACATGTGATCTAGTATCGGCTCAGTAATTATGTGGCTAAATGGTAAACACGCAATAATTGAAATTACCTTGTTTGTTTCTTCTGGTTTTAAATGGCAACAAACAAGGCCAAGCCCAATTTACCGCCCAATGCAAATGTTCCCATTCCCATGTTGATTTTCTACATTTAAAAATTAATACTTCAAAGAAACAGTAAAATGATTTAATATTGTTAATGATATTCAGTAGATTTTTACTGCTCAGTGGGAGCAAAAATTCAATAAAACTTTCTTTTAGGGAAATATTTAAGTCATGTTGGTGGTTGTCATCCAACTGAAAATGGTTACTTCTTTTGAAGAGTGTAAAAGCTCTTGCCTGGATTTTATATAAATGCGCAGAGTATGAAAAAAGGTTGTGTTGTCATTTTTGGTATATTCACAAATCAAATTCTGTGTATATCTCATGACAAGCCTGGTATTAAAATTTGTTTTAAAAATATAAAATAAAAGTCAATATCAGAAATTAATTTTAAAGAGCTCAATTTAGATCTTGAAAAATACTCCATTTATTTAATTTTTGGCTGCAAACTTTGAATTTATTTTACTTTATTACTTTTGAAAGATTCATACTAAATCACAAATCAAGGAAACATTTTTACAATAATCAGAAAAAAATGATGATTTGACACAACACATGTAAATGTAACATGAGTCATGACACAGTCCCATGGTGCCAATCTCACATTGAAATGACATCTGATGCATTTCAGTACATTACTGTACAACATGTAGGTGGTAAAACTGTCAGAATCAACATTCACACAGCTGAACACACAAAATTAAAAGCGTAGCTCTCCGCCATTTCTGTAGCACACACTAACTAAATATATACATATATATATATATATATATATATACACGCATATCTAAATATACTCTGTGTATTATTTTAAAAAATTGATTTGGTCAGTGTGTGAAATAATGCTTCTCCAATCATTGTAAATTTGCGATGAGTTCACAGGTGTCAAAAGAAAACACAACACTTGCTATTTTGAACTCAATAAATTACCACATGAGGGTCACGGACGCCCACATGCTAAACGAGAAACAAGAGCAGGAAGATGTCTGTATTGCCATTTTACAGTACCTATGAGAGCAGTTCAGAGGCGAGGTAGGTCCATGTTCATCTGCACAGCACGCTGGTGTCGATAGCTATCACCTCTGTTTAAGAATACATCGCAAAAATCTAATATGCGCTTTAAAAAAAATTTCACTGTGGCAGCTCTCCTATTCATACCTGCTGTCTGACATTCGCACAATGAGTCAGGGGAGGACCGCAACCAAGAACAAACACCTCCCACCTGATCTTCATCTAAGCAGCAATTCACATTCTCTCTATGACTCTCAGGGCAAGGGCGACTACTGATTGTGGCACCCTGGCCTGCTTTAGTTACTTACCTTCACAACACTGAGTGGAAAAAAAAACATGCTGATCCCAATGTGCCAGACATGTCTTATGCCTCTGTTATGATAGTAAATTTCATGGCTGGCAAAAGAGAAATCAATGTTTCCAGATTGCAGATTGTTAAGATGCTGGATAGCAATAATATGCAAGTTTAAAGGCGAGCTCAAGTGAATTGTCATCTGAGAAGTTTTCTCATGTTAGTATGCAACTCTTAATTTCAAATTTTCCACATGTTTTACAGATAATATAATGAGGGCTGACAGCAAATTGAAG